CCTGTTGGCATTAATCGTATTAATTGTCAAGTGCCAAAAATTAATCGATTAATGTTTTTCTGACGATTAATCACACACGATACGATTATGCCCAACCCTAATTTAGTGTCAGTATATAATATTGAGTGTTTATTGCCAGTATTTAGTGTTTGGTGTCAGTATGTAGTATTTAGTGTCAGTATTTAGTATTTAGTGATACTTTTTGGTGTGGATAGATTCAGATCTACTTGCTGTTCTTTGGAGCACAGTCAGTGTGAACAGAGTAGAAACAGTTTCAGCTCTACAGTCATTCTGACTCTATGCACCATGTTGGGACATTTAGCTCTCACAACAGAAAATAACAAGAAAACTCATTTATCCATGAAAAAACACTGTGTAAAGGACTAAAATACTAGAACTGAACACTGACAGGAAATAACTCTGGGCCCATTTGATAACATGATTTTACACAAGAACATAAATAACTAAAAAATAATAACATGCAAGCATAAAAAGTGCCTTAGCAGCTAGCAGTAGCACTGTGCCCTGAAGAAACACATTTGTTAACTTGTTATTGATAATTGTTCTATAATTATTGTTCTATATGTTGACTGGTGAGAAAATCTCCTTAAATTAGTTTCTTATTATAATTTGTTTTTAGTTTTATTTGGTGTAATGAATGACCTTTTTGAGCAACTCAAAAGTTAGGATCACCTTAAATTTTCATAAATACTTTGATCTGCGATGTTTTTCTTTTTTTAAATGGCTCAATAGTGCCACCTATGTCGCAACATGACACTCTTGTTTCATGTGGTGGTGTGAAGCTGAGTCCACACAGACCATCGTAWGCCAGCTGAGACTTATTGCTGCATTGATTTGTGTTTTCCATGGTCATTTGGCTGCAGCCATTTTGAATGAAAGTGACTGAGGATGAATCAGTAGCTGAGTTTATCAGAYAGCGTTGGCTCAAGTATTGAAGGACGTAGATCTTATGTAATCAGCACTCATAGTATGTCTTGGGGATGACTCACAGCTACTACATACCCAGTGTTGAACATTTGACATTTCTGTAGGTTATAGTTGTGTTGACCTTTTGAGTTCACCTCAAACATTAATCAGTTGTAGAGAAACATCCAATGATCACTTTCTGAAAGTCCAGTGCTTAATGATACATTTTACCAACAGACAAAAAGGTTTGAAGCCAACACTTGTTGCTAATGTTTTAGGACAAATGTGTTAATTATGTGTATATGTGTTTCTCCTGGAGTCTGTTGTAAAGGACTCACTATCTGTAAATTGTTTGATTTACACATATGTCAGCCATCATGAATCAAGCTGGGACCAAAATTAATGAATTCAAGGATTATTTTCTGAGTTACAATAAAATTCATGCAGTGATTCATTCAATATTTTACTAAYAGACAGGCAAACCCACACAGGTACAGGAAGTTTGAGACGTCCATGAGATTTCTGTACAGTCTTTGTCAATGGTTCCYGAGTGTCTTCTTAGCATGGACACATTGACAGCACTGAGCAGGCTGAGCTCAGGAGTAACGATCAGTGACTGATGTGGAGGGATGATTGGAGAATCCTTTGGTCATTCAATCACCACCACAAAACACACCAGGACAGACGTGATCGATACCCCCCCCCCCAACCCAACCTCCATTTACTTAACTGGGTGAGTTACTCCAGTACACCCAGAAACTCTGAGGTCTCTGTCCAGTTTAAAAACTGTTTTGTCAGTCGAGTCCACTCCTAGTCCATCAGAGCCACTGTGTTTCAGAACACCTGATTTCAATTAATGTAGCATTCTCAGGTTTCTGTGGAGCCAGATAAAACACTAAAGAGGTCAGGTAAAGTAAATGGATTTCATCATCCGATAAGCAGTTGATGACTGGTGACATATCACAGCACGCATCTTTAAGCATGTTGCTTTGTGTTCTTTAGGCAATTTAATTTTTTTAATTTATTCAATTTATTTCATTCATAAAACAAAATGTATGTATATAT